TGCAGCATCGGGATAAGCTTTTTTGGGTTGAACAAGCATTTTCGTGCAACATTAATTCCCGACAATATGTTACGATCTGCTTCCTCTCAGGTTTCCTTTTGACATTATTGTGAGCGTATATTGTCGCTGCATATCACCTAGAATGACAGTACCTGCTAGTTGCCTTCGGCCTTAAAGGCATAAGGCACGATAATCTGTACTCAGTCCAAAATGGTAGCAGGGATGCTATAGTGGGGAAAACGGCGAAAAGTGAAGTGAATTGGTCAAAAACCTGCAAAAAAGCCTTTGTTCTACACGACTCAGAAAGCTATTTCGGACGAGTTTTCCGTTGGCATCGTGCCAATAACCGCTACGGTATGTACTCCTACATATACAGGGGGGGGGCAAAAAAAAACTTTTTTCTTCCTTGACTTTCGAGGCGCTATAAGTTACACTTTATTAAATTCTTATCGGACACTTCTACCACCATTAAAGAGCATATTAAATACTATCACGATACTCCGCCACAGCCTTCTGGAGGAGCGCCATCGAGAGATTCTGCCACGCGACCGTGAGTGGGTGCCTGAGTTCAGCGAGATCGTTGATTTCTCCGCCACTGTAGACCACCCTATTGAACTCCGCCCGAACCAGGTAATTGAGGGGGTTTAGGTCAGGTGACCTGCTTAGATATTCCACCTTCTTCAGGTACTCAACGCCCTTCCATTCCAAGTAGGCGAGAGTTTTCCAACGCCCTTCGATTCCATGTGGTGGCACCCAATGCTGTAGCAGTACAAAGTTTCCAAGAAGGTACGGGCGACGACATGTGAGGAGGATATTCTTCACGAGTTGCTCGATGTAACCGCCAGCGCTCACCTTCAGTCCGGGTCCACGAAGAAAATATTGGTCTTTCCATTCCAGGTACGTCCGGTCCCCACCATCAACTGGCGCCTTGGCGACTGAGGTGAAGATGATGTCCTAGACCGTAGCGACGTTGTCGGAGCTGCTCGATGTTGGAGGTCTTCCAGATTTCGCAGCTGTTTAGAGGTGACAAAGGTCTTCTCCAGTCAGGCTGCGACTGGAGATGACTTCATATTTTGGTGTACATGAAGGTGATGGGCGAGAGCCAGCTCCTGCTTATAGAGGAACATCTTGGGTATCTTCCGCCCTGGTACTCGTATCCACGTCCTCTGTCTGGGCTGCGAAAACTTTGCTGATATGTGACTCGGTCGAAATGTCTTTTTTTTGCCCCCCCCCCACCTGTGTGCGTGCAATACCACGACTGCTTCATGTCATTCCCTTTGCTTCAAATACTACTTCGCGACTGAAGCGATACGAGCATCAGGTGCGGTCGTCAATTTGTGGAGGGTTGGCGGGTCGGTATGTTGCAGCTTGATAGCGAACTATACTGGTACATCTCTTGGAATACCGCCACGCAGCGCCTGCTTAGGGGCCTTGAAACTGTCCTGCTAGGCATATCAGTACTTCACGTCTTGGGATTTAACGCGGCTGCGTTCGGCGTTCCAGTAGTACCATCGTGTTGAGCAAATGGGTCTTTTGAGCGAAAAGTAGGTTTATATGGCGTTTTCAGAGTATCAGGATTAGCGAAAGGATTAGTATAGTTATCGTTGGCGTCTTCATAGGTTTTGGGAGAATCGTCATCCCGGCAGAATAAGCGCTTTGAGCGGATCATCGTTTTGGGCGCCCATTGTCACCTAGCCATCCTTGTAACATTTTGTAATCCCTCATCTCCAATCCTTGCAAACCCCTGTCAGGGACTCCCTGCTAGGAACATCACAGCCCGTCGCCCTCGCATTATGTAGCGTCAAAGTCCCCCCCCTTGTCCCTGTGTCCAGCTTTATTGAGAGTGAGGACTCGATTTCAATGCACGGATCTTCTCTCCTTTTGAGAAGCGGCCATCGGGCGATGTCAGATTCTGGGCTCCAGATCGAGAGTTCAATACTAGCGCCATATCGAAAGTAATTTTCCAAGTATGAAGAATTCTTTGTTAAAAGTTGTGTTTTCGTTTACTTCCGAAGGAGCTCTCTGAAAAGTGTCAGTTACAAGTGAATGATTTCTCATCATTCTCGATTCATTTATTGCTACGTTCTGATTCTGTAGGCGCTACCGTCTCTTGTATGTGTACGCTTATTTAAATAATTAAGAATCTACACAAATTTATGGCATACTCCTTCATGTGCTAGTTTGGATATGTAAAATCATGCGTTTATTCTAGGAGATGTACGAAACTTACATCAAATATTCGATGAATCCGTTCTACACAATCAATTCTCCTATAAGATCGCCTGCCTTCGATCAGAAAGCGGCTCTATATGGAAGGAAATATCTTGTTTAGTTTTCTTTTCGCTCTATGTTTTCCTTGATGACTACGGGTATATGATATTAAGATTTAATTAAATGTCTAGCTTACTTGTTTCCGTATGTGGTTTATTGGAGACCGAGTTTCTCCAATAACAGTAATAAAAATTCATTCTTAGCAGTGTTAACGTTGTCGGCGGTTGCTTCTGCCGTATACCTTGCATAATGAGTCTTGCTTGATCTCCACGTCAGCTCTCCAAGTACCTATAGTGATAAGCATTTCAGGCACAGCTTCTTCAACGGCTCACTTCAGTCGCTGGTCACGACTGTTATTGGGTTCTTCTCGAGTCCTATGACTCGAAGGACATTTACACTCGATTTTAATGGATTATATCGTGAGCAACATGAACGCGACGACATTGAACGACGGTATGAATCTGTTAAGCGGAATTCTGGGATTCTGCGACTTAACGGTGAAGTGGTCAAGGCGGACTTCCAAGAATTGCGTTTCATCTCGGATATTGGCAGTGGTAGCTGTGGCCACGTCTCTAAGATGAGCTACAGAGGTCACGTAATGGCTGTTAAGGACATGATCCGAACATCGAACAAGGAGGACAATAAACGCATCATTATGGATTTGGATGTTATTTCACGTGCAGACGCCTCCAATCATATAGTTCTATGCTACGGCTACTTCATATCAGAAACAAGTGTCAAAGTTTGCATGGAAATCATGGCATCTTGTCTCCATACTCTTCTACGAAGCGCGAATCGTTTAGGAATTCGCATTGCTGAGGGGTACATCGGAAAGATGGCAGTATGTATTGTGCAGGGCCTCGACTATTTGAAGGACCATCTCAATGTGATTCATCGCGACGTGAAGCCGTCTAACGTTCTCTTAGACTGGAATGGGACCGTGAAACTCTGCGATTTTGGTATCAGTGGTCAGCTGATTGAATCCCGTGCGCATACTGTGCAAGCAGGATGTCCTCCTTACATGGCTCCGGAGCGTTTTGATCCGCGTTTCAACTCGGACTACGACATACGAAGTGATGTGTGGTCGGTAGGGATTTCATTGCTTGAACTAGCCACTGGGACATATCCGTACTCTCATATCGATTCCGAATTCGGGATACTGGCTGCTATCGTACGCGATCCATCTCCCACCCTTCCCGTGAACATGGACTTCAGCATTCACTTCCACGATTTCGTCTCATTGTGTCTTCAGAAAGATTTTAAATGTCGCCCAAAGTACAAAGCCTTACTGAATCATCCGTTCATTCTCAATAGCAAGCGGGATCAAAGGCACGACCTTGTCATCCTTGTTCAGAATGTTCTTGGCGTGTAATTAAATTATTGGCCAGTCAATGCAACTTTGAAAACGGCTGGAAACTCCCGTTTTTAGCTGAGAAGCGATGCTGCATCTAAGATCTCATTTGTTCTCCGTCATACTCTTTGTATTTATCAAGCCTTACAGCTTATAAAACAGTTTTTTTTTCTGTGGAACGAATACATAAGAAGACAGTCGCAGTCGCTGCTCTTGTTGTAAATGATTTTGCACGATATGCTGGGAAGAATAAATGTTTCGTTTTCAAAAAGCTTTATTTGCAGGCAGTAGTCCTGCAATAATTCTCAAAAGCTGTAATACTGGCTTGCCGGACAACTGATTCTCCTTTGAATTTCATTTTATTCATGACAGTCCAGTTTATTTTGTGCTCAATAAGAACTATTCATCGTCCTCCGACAATGAGCTTCACAGTTCTTATTAATAACTGCTCCTACTGGCCCATTTCAAATGATAATATCGAGTCTGCTGCTCATTTAGTTCTTTTTATTTTCATCCTGGGGAAGGCAGAAGCTATTAGGTTGGACTGGAAGTCCTGCGACTTTTTGAATAAAGTGCTCTAGAAAAAAATCCAAAAATATTTCGAATCCCGTGTAATGGAGGGTGTTCTCTAAGGTTTTTACAGACGGGTATATTATGACTTTGTAGAAGCTGCCAAAGCTCAAAAGCCTCCCAAAGGTCAACATACTTTTCGACCTATCCCGTACTTTGTTCCTGTAAGATCACTTTGTCGAGCAGCTAATGCCTGCGTTGTCTTTAGGAAAGATGTCGCTTGCCATGGCAAGGTGTTCCGCTAGTATCAGCGCTTGCAGGCACTAGTTATTCTGTTCAAAGGTAGGCTACGTATAGGTCGGCCACCAAGATACAATGACAGCCGACCCCATGGGGCGCAACCGAACGTAACCACCCGTAAGTTGGCAGCACATCCAGGCCGCACCTAAATGACAACTGCCATGCTTCTTGGCAGTATCAGTTATCGGAAAAATCGGCACTATTTACCCTTTACTGCCCCAGCCATCCGAAATCAGGCCAGTTCCTGACCGACTTTTTTCTCCGTGGGCAGAATTTGCTGAAAACTTGGCTCCAGGGGTAGTTCGACCCGCTGAACACGAATATCGCATCCGCTTGACCCGAAACCTCCTGGCGCCCGCGCCACGGGCACCGGCGCCAAAATACCCCAAATCATTGGCGTGGCGGGGGCGCCTGTGCGCGGGCGCCAGGAAGTTTCGGGCTGAGCGAATGTGATATTCGTATTCTGGAGGTCAAACTACCCCAGGAGACAACATTTGAGCAAAATCTGCCCACGGAGAAAAAAGTCGGTCAGGAACTGGCCTGATTTCGGATGACTGGGGCAGTAAAGGGTAAATAGTGCCGAAAAATCTTCTGTGAACGATGCCAATGAGTTGCACCAGTCTGACAAAGTTACCGAACGGTCGCGAGTGAGTTTTCTTTTCTTTGTAAACACTGGAAGGATTTTCCGTGAAACACTGTGGTTGGTAAAGAGAGTTGGGTTTCTTGCGTAAACCAAGCACATAACCTTCACAGCATCGTTGAAGCAGCAAATTCGCCCAGCTTGCCCAAAAGCTGAAGTGCATAGAAAAAAGATTTCACTGTGTTATTGTTAGGACTTCAAAGCGATGTCAGTGGATATCAGGACAGCAGTGACGTCCGCAGTGGACTCCAAACAACTTCAAAACATGGATGACGTCATATCTGATTTCACTGAAAAACAAGAACGCATGTGGCGATGAGACTACCACGAAAGCATGGGTCTCGATTAGGGAATGTGTCCATACCTAGGCTATCTACCAAAGTTAGCAGCCTCTAACTACCTCTTTTGATCCCTACTGCATCCCTCTTTTTTTCATTGTACTTGCGGTAGTTCTATAGGAGTGGAATCGAGAAGCTGTGCGAAGATGGGCACTAGTCTAGTTATTAATGGTGATTACCTTGTAAATTGGAGGTGCAAGGTAATCACCATTATGCTTAGCGAAGGAAAATTTGGTCCGAATTTCTAGTCAAACTGTGGCTGGACTTTTTTTCCAATCTAATGCGTAATCGCTGAGAAATATTGTGAGAAAGAACCGGGCCACACTTAGACGTGGTTCTACCAAGGAGCCAGGAAGCAAAATTTTTGGATTTTCTGTCATCATCTTACATTCTTCACCGCTGTGGAAGAAGAAAATGGCATAGGTACCTCAATGGTGTCGCTTTATGACTCCCCTTCCAATCCCTGCCCTTTAGTCATGTGATTTTGTGGAGCGGAACGAAAGCATAGAGCTGTTTTTCTGAGTGTTGTTCTGGAACGGCCACTTGAGACTCAGTTTAGGAGCTGAAATACAATGATTTTAGGGCATTTTGGGTTGCACAGGACTAGCTATCCTGACGCTGACGTGTTGCCATTATAGCGGATAGTAGGGGAGAACTTCAGGGCAAGGTGCAGCGGTGGCAGGATGAGCTCCCTGAGAATGGACGCCAGCTGAACGTAAAGAAGACCAAGTTTCTGAGTTCTGAACTTATCGCAGACCGCCACGGTTAAAGATCAACGAAAGGCGTCGAGGAATTCCGTTACATGGAAGCGACTCGTAGCTGATTAGGTAGCGCATGGACCAGGCGTAAAGGCTCGAATAGGAGTACGGATAAGGCTAGAATGGAGGTAGTCCACATGGCATCCTCTGCGGACGGCGGTGCTCGAAACCCTAAGCGGCAAGGATACGGGTGTGGTAAGGACTGCTTAATGCTCTACGGCAGTTGACGTGGGACCATGAAAGATAGCTGCACTCAGCTAAAACGGTGAGATGGGCCTGTGGCTGGAGACCAGACAGAATCAGGAACGAGGAGGTCAGGGCGGTCACACACGGACCGATCCAGTTAAGGCGTGAAGGATCATCCAACAAGGAAAGCATTGGAATCTGAAGTGCAAGGCAAGCGACCACGAGGATACAGAGAAAATATGGAGGGACGTCATCAAGAAGGACCTCCTTCAAAGTGAATGCTACCATGATCAAATGCATGCATTAGATTGGAACAAATGGCGACGTCTAACAAGAACAGGAGACCCTCCGACGGAGCGAGACTAAGGAGAAGAAGAAGGCAGAATTATCTACCCGCATCCCGTCTCGATCGGGGACAGATGAGTGTGGGGCGCTACACCCACGTTGGTGAGACGCGCACAAACTGGGTAATATGTATTTCCACTGGCTAGTCGACTTGTCCATGCTCTCTTGCTACTGAAACTCATAAGATCTGCGAATGGCGCCCTTTACAGCAGCGCATGCTCTGTTACCTGAATGTATTGTCCCACAGCTGTGTTACTTCTGGTGCTCGCAGTTAAGCGGAACAGCTTTGGGAAAAAGCCTTATTCCAGACTCACTTTACAAAAATCGTTGGACCTCCTGAAGCGTGTAGCCGTCGTGTACTCGTTTATTTCAGTGTACAATCCTCACTGGTCTTTGTCTGCTGATCGTGGACGTCATCCATTGCATGATTTCGGAACTGTATCTGACAACGAGGAAAACTCTCAATTCATGGAGTGTTTTTCGGATTGGATTACTGCATGTTGTGGACATATACAGAGGGGAGAGGCAAAAAATACACTGTTCTTCCCCCACTTTCGAGTCGATATAAGTTACACTTTTTGAATTCTGATTGGACATTTTCACCATCAAATTCAACAACGCATTGCACACGATCACGAAACTCCGCCACAGCCTTCTGGACGAACGCCATCGAGAGATTCTGCCACGCGACCGTGATTCGGTGCCTGAGTTCAGCGAGATCGTTGATTTCTCCGCCACTGTAGACCACCCTGTTGAGCTCCGCCCGAACCAGGTAATTGAGGGGGTTTAGGTCAGGACACACTTGGATATTCCGTCTTCTTCAGGTACTCAACGCCCTTCCATTCCAAGTAGGCGAGAGTTTTCCAACGCCCTTCGATTCCATGTGGTGGCACCCAATCCTGTAGCAGTACGAAGTTTCCAAGATGGTACAGGCGACGACATGAAGGCAGGATATTCTCCTCGAGCTGTTCGATGTAACAGTCAGCGTTCACCTTCAGTCCGGGGTCCACAAAGAAAATATCGGTCTTCTCATTCCAGGAACCTCCGGTCCATACCATCAACCCGCGCCTTGGCGACTGCGGTGAAGATGATATCCTGGACCGTAGCGACGTTGTCGGAGCTGCTCGATGTTGGAGGTCTTCCAGATAAATGCCGGTCTCCAGATAGCTGTCCATGGGTGACTCGATAGCAGCTGTTTGGAGGTGACGTGAATTTCATAGGCCGGCCTTCTTCAGTCCGGCTGCGATTGGAGATGGCTTCATATTTTGGTGTACATGAAGGTGATGGACGAGAGCCTGCTCCTGCTTATCGAGGAACATCTTGGGTATCTTCCGCCCTGGTACTCGTATCCACGTCTTCTGTCTGGGCTGCGTAAACTTTACTGATATGTGACTCGGCCAAAGTGTTTTTTTGCCCCCCCCCCCTGTACTATACATGAAATACAGAAGTGAAGTTCACTTTTCTTACGCGATGGTTGGAATGCCGAGGGAACGGAAGGAACAAAACGTCAGTAGAACAATTCCCCATCGTATTCAGAATTCCGCATCCTCGATTATTTCTGATCGCTTATGTCTGAGCTTTTTGCCCGAAAAACTCAAGATTCCAGCAGCATCAAAGAATATGGGCAAAGATCTAACTCCTTTGCTGTTGCTTTTCTGAGGCCTGTTCAGGGAACGAGTAGGACAGGACCAGGAGATCAGATCCCCGACTATTTTAATTCTTGTGGTCAACTATGCCGGACATGATGCTGCTCCAATGCTTCTGCGTTCCAAAAAAAGCTCTAGATCCACGCATGTACCCCAATAACATGCGACACTCGACGGCCCAAAGGAATCCTTGTAAGATCCCCAGCGCTGTGCGGAAGGTACAGGCACATTGTGGTGCTGGCGTAATCGGACCAGAAAAGCTACCTTTCCTGATGTGTAAATACATACATCAGTACAA